ACTTCAATATTTTATTTCATTTTATTTTTTTTAGATAGAAAGTGCTGCTCACCACTGTGTGGCTGTCTATTTAATGCATATTTTTAGATTAAATAAAAACCATGTTTGGTTTATGCAGTGTGTAGTTTTTGGTGAAAGATGTATTTTAAATTATAGATTTTCTTCCAGTCAGATCTCAATTTTAACACAACCCTTTTCCAGTCTGTGAGCAGTAGTACTTCACAACTCTGTTCACCTGAATGATTAATAGTTCCCTTCATCATCCTGTAGCTAACAGCATCAGTGGGGAAGAAACCTGGGTGACACTCCTCTACCTCGTTGGATCAAAGATCAAAGGTTTTATCTCTCTAACCATCTTCACTGTTAATAGCCATTAACCTGATCGCCTGTGCTTCTTTCAAGCTGAGGGAAACGCAGCTCAAGCAGGACATCAGAGACAGGCTGATGAATGAATGAGTCTAAAGCCATGAGGGTGGCATTTGTTTTTGTTCCAAACACTCATGTTTTCCGGGATTATTATGGCCCAACATCGGAGCTTTGAGCTTCATTCACTACCAGTTTGGAGATGGTGGCTCAGGGCATCCTGAAAACTCACATCTGTATCCAGACTCTTTAAAAGTAGCAGAACTGCATGGGTCATAGTGATTTCCCCCGATGATTCCAGCCAATGTTAATGAATGCAAATCGTGTCCCGTTCGCCGTGTGTCGAAAATAATCTTATGAGCTTCTTGAATTTATGTTTCACCCCTGTAGGTTTGCATGCTGTTTGATGGTCTTTGGTGAGTTTCAACAGATGTTTTAATGCAGTTGTTTGTCTTTAATTGTTCTTTTATATGTTGGGTTTTCACAGAGGAACCATGGCAAAGACAATTTGCTGTCACCTGCAGAGAGACAGACATTAAATTTTTGCTTATTCTATTTCTAATTATTCCTTAAAGGAACATTTGGAAAAAAAAGACTGCCATGTAATGCAGTTTGCTCATTACAAAAGTTTTGCACCAAGGTAAATATTGCTGCTGCAGTACCTTTAACAAGGCAATATTTTTTTCCTGGGATATTACACCCAGCTGGGTGTCCTGCTTGGTTGGCCTTATCTTGCCGTTACATGACAACGCTGAACTCATGTCGGCCTAAATCGAAAAGTGGGGGCTACAAGCAGGTAATGTGCCCCATTTCACTTTAATTGAAATACTGTAGACCCTATTGCCCAAATGTAATTATAGCATCAAAGGTGGGCACAAGAGAAACCAGCCAGAAACAAATTGAAATTTAAGAGTGGAATGCAAACTGTCTCCAGCAGTGAGTAAGTGCTCACGATACCCAGAAGACCTTGAAGGGCTGGTAAATATGAAACAAGAAGAAGATGAGGAGGAAATAACTGATGATGGACAATTTTGAACAAGTTTTACACCCAAACTAAATTAAATTAGAAGAAAAGGGTAATTTTAGGAAACTCGAATTGACATAGAATAAAAAGATGCAAACCACCGTGACAAAAATAAATATACAGCAGATGTTTGTGATGTTTCCAATAAACATAAACAATAAGGTTCTTTTAGCTAAATTTAAAAATCATATATTAAAATAATTTAGGGAGAGAGCTAAAAAAACAAAACAACAAAAGATAAAACATTCCTCCTATTAAGAAAAATGTTTTAAAATAAGTAGAGACCATAATTAACACATTTGGCACACATCCTTTGGCACAAGGACAAAATAGTGTTATTTGTCAGTTTAAAAACATAATTCTTTATATGCTTCATAACACTATTTTGTGTGTGCATGTGTGTGTGTGTGTGTGTGTGTATTTAAAAAAAATATATTTATTTGTAGTCATATAAAAATGAAAAATAAAACAACATCTCCTTTTTGGCATCTGGAACAGCCCCCTCCCACTGCGATCTTCTAGATTCCATAAAGATGTGAAACTTTTCAGTGGAAAATAAAGATACAGCTGTGCCACCGTGGCATGAAATGGCTCAATGCTACACATGCAATATATCATAGCAATGCCCATATTAAAAAGCTAAATAATGCCATGCTATGATATGCATACTCTCGGTCTGTACTAATGAAGACTGACTAAAAAGGGTGCTTAAGTGGATGATTTGCACCCATTGTCTGTTTTTTTTTTTCAGTTATAAATTTGGGCTACAGCTATAATATTAACCACATCCATGTTGCACAGTGGTGCAATCTGTAGCACTTTTGCGCTGTAATGATTCCCGGGCCGGGGTCTTTCTGTATGTAGTTAGCATGTTCTCCCTGTGCATGCGTGGGTTCTCTCCGGGTACCCCAGCTTCCTCCCACATTTCAAAAACATGACTGTTAGATTAATTGGCATCTTTAAATTGTCCTTGTGTGTGTGTGTGTGTGTGTGTGTGTGTGTGTGTGTGTGTGTGTGTGTGTGTGTAGGTGTGTGTGTGTGTGTTTGTGTGTGTGTGTTTGCATGTTTGTATTTCTTCACGAGTCTCTGCATTACCCTGCGACAGACTGGCGACCTGTCCAGGGTGTACCCTGACTCTCACCCATAGACTGCAAAAGGGCGGGAGAAAATGGATGGATATAAATTAAATAATTGCAGATTTCCTCCCCACTATTTATTCACTGTACTGCAATAAGGAGGAAAAAATCATATTAGAGGACTTGGCTTTCAATGGAAGAATAACACATATCATAATAACCTCGATCTCTAACAGCGTAAATTTTCCTACCAGTTATACATGAACCTGGTAAAGTTTCTTTAATGACATAATGTCCTGCTGTGGCTATTCTATCGTTGTTTTTTCTGTCTGGGACATTAGAACGCCTCTTCTTCCACCTAAACCTTTTAAAGTAAGAAAAACTAATATTATTAATTTAGAACTTTGTACTCATGATTTATTAAACATCAGATGGAAATCATTTCGACTAATATAATTTTTTGCTGATGCCGGGAATTAGCTTCATCAAGAAATGGTGAAATAATTAATAAACTTTATCCCTGGACTACAATTGAAGTCAAAGTTTAACATTTACCTTAAATAAACGTAGATCTTCAAGAGGGACTCCTTAAATTGTCTGGTATTCTAGGTGAACCGAAAATGTATTTTGTTATTCTTTGTATCTAAAATTTTTAATCCCTGTCAGCTCTCTGTTCAACCTGAGTTATACAATTGTCAATTTTTCTTCTGTCAAAATTATAGAATTTATTTGTGATTGTGGATTTCAGTTTAAAGCTGCATTAGAGTTAAATAACCTACCTCCTTCAGTTAGATATTTTACCTTTTTTCCAAACCTGTAAATTATTCCTTCATATTATTCAAGCATTTGCTCCTGCTTTTAATTAATCTATTTGTTATTTCTCTTCTCTATTAAATTGATTTACTCTGGACTTACTTCTCATGTGGACAAGCTTATTGCGTTGGTGCATTTACATAAATTCACTGGGTTTTAGTTTGTATTGAGGTGTTGGCTATACAGCTGAAATAGAAATAGACATGTATCCCTCATATAGTAGCATTGAAGTGAGGCTGTGAAAGTATGTATGAGCAAGTCTGTTTCATTTTTTTTAAATGTCTTAAACCTATAACTATGGTTTGTAGTATTGTTATTGATATTCTGTGAAAAGCATGTATGTAATAAGGGGCTATCTTTGAAAAAAAATAATTACCGGTATCTGAAAGCATGAGGAGGAAGGTTATAGAGACTATTAAAAGAACATTGAACTTTAACCAAGTTCGCCAGATAATTATTAATTAAGCCAAAAATAAGAGGTATATTTATATATGTATATATTCTATATAAGCAAGTACTTCACAAATGTCACACTGCTTGACAAGACTGGATATTTATCAGTACAATCAAATAAAAAAAAACAAAAAAAAACTGATATCTGCTAAAGAAAAATAATTATCATCTACCAATCATTTTGCGGCTTTAGAAAGGTCAAGGGGACATAAGAATTTCCCTTCAGGGAGTGATAAAACATAATTGATTTGAATTTAATAAGAAAACTGACACGTTAGTTTCCAACAAACTCCTCATATAGATCAGTTTAATTTAGGCTGATGCTGGAAATAAAAAGGCTCACAGGAAAACAAATAGAGGTTACTAAGATCCAGCTGCCTATTTACTGAACATCAACTAAATTTAAGGTTTTATAAGAAAGACTTGCTTCTACTTTTGTTTTGTCTTCAATCTTAAAATGTGTGAAATAAACCGATTTTGGCAATCAGGAGGATTCCAGCAATGCTAAGGCCTCCACTACAGTTGCAAAATATTTCCTGCATTGCATCTTCTTTTACATATTAACAGAATGTAACATTTCCAAATTGAAATTATCAAAGTATCTTTAACATAAAGTACACTTTCATATTTGTTGTTTGTTTCTTTTTTGTACATAAGGGTACTGCTGCCAAACACTCAACTGTATGGATCCTTAGCAAAGGTAGCGACTTGAATTAAAAAAAATATGAAAACATTTGAAAGCCCCTTTTGATGTTTCTTGTTCAGGGCAGAAGGCAACTTTAAGCATGAGTAACAAAAGCTTTGATATCATTATTTTAATGAAACTGTTTTTAAAAACCTGCCATTAGGAACAAAGTTCTCAAAAATACAGTCTAAATGGCTTTTTAAACTAATTATTTCCTTTTTCAAACCTATTTTATATGAGACAGGTGCAAAAGGAGCTTTTTAAAATGTAAATGTTTGGACATGACCAAAATTTAAAGCATATATATTATTCAAATGTCCAACGTTCTGTTTAATTGTTATGCATACAGAAATATGTGGCTGGTTATATACTTATTATGAGCTTGCATTAATGTTTTAATGTCGCATTATTATCGCTGGTTATTATGCATAGTGTTCTGAATCTGCTGGGGAGCACATCGGCAGGTAAACACGTTATCTTGGGTCTGTTTATACACTTATCTCCGAGCTGCTGGTGTTGTGACTCCCCTCACGTTCAGAGGCTGTCAGCACGTCGGCAGCAGGAAGCTCAGAGGGCAGATGACAGGTGGAAGAGCAGAACGTCTGCGCTGGAATGAAAATGGTTCAGCCTGGACAGCATGGCGACAAAACGTTTCAAGAGGCAGGATGGTTCAGAGGGCCCAGGCACGAGATGCTGTCCAGATGCCTCTCCTCCACCTCAACTGAAGTGCTCATTCCATGAGTCAGCGTGTCGATCTCTGGCTGGGAGCTGGAGAGAGAGGCGGCTGTTTTTCTCAGAGCTCTGCTCCCGGGGCTGCTGCCATTTTTTTTTTTTTTTTTGCCAGACAATGGCAGATGGGAATGCTTGGATATTAGTGGAGGCCTTCTACGTGCTTGGACATGCCATACAAAGTTCAACAGTGTCACGCACCGTCTCTGACTGCTGCCATGTATCACTTGCGAATGTGTTTTCTCACTGAGCCTCTTAGGTAACTTGTATGCTGTAAAAACTTGTAGCAGCATGCTTCTCTGTTTGCCTTCTCAAAGATCCCCAGAATTTGTTCCAATAAAACATCATTACTCTGATTAATATTGTCATTACAAATTGCTTATAGTGTTTGGAGAGCAAACCTTTAAATCCAGACACAGTTTTGAGACAGGGCCATTTGCTCTGAGGTTAAACCCCACGCACCTGCTTCCTTATTACCATATGAAGCAACAACAGGCTCATTTTAAGGTCCAACATAAATTAACTTGCGTCCTTTTGAATAGGGGGAAGCCTATCTGGTTTCTATGGGACGACCTTTCACTGCTACTAATGCGTTTTCCTCCTGCTAGCAGGCCGTGATGTTGAGGAAAGAGACGTTTCACACAAACTGCAGAAACTGGCCGCTGCTTCACTCCTTCTTAATCCACACGCTTCAGTCTTGACACTTTTACGGGTGGACAGTCAGCGGAGAGGAGAAGTCGCACTGCTGTGAACCACAACAATCCCCTTAGTTACAGTAGCTGAGAATCTGGCAGCGGCGGAAACACACAGATGTGGAAGATCAGATTTCAGATGACTGCTGATACTCCAGTGACTCCAACAAGCCTCTGCAACAGCAGGTATGCCCTACACTTTCTACGGGTGATCAACTTTTTGATGACACATGAGGAGATTTCATCAAATCTTTTCAGCTCCTCTTTGGAGCAGGATCCTCACACGAAAGAGGCGGACAGCTGAAATGTTAAAAATACCCAACACGTCTGCTCCGGCTGTGTGTTTTTCTCCACCTACACGGCGCGCCAAGCACTAAAATCTAGTCACCACAAGTGGATTGACCTTGCTTTGTAACCAGATATGTAGTTGTACTTTGGAATTCACAAACTTTCATCTGTGCAGTCAAAACCTTTCATCGCAAATGGCTTGGTGTCTTGATCTGCTGTCAGTTATCTGCCCTGGAAAGTAAACACGAAACAAAAAAGGCCCGCGCTTTAAGAACTATAGAGCAACAAAGACATTTTAATTATGAGAAGCTGGCGTCTGTTCAACATGTTTAGTGTTTCACAGCTTGTGGGAATGTGAACAAAGTCATTAAAGTCTAAACTAAGCCAACTATGACATTAACTTTTCATTCCATGTAGAAAAACAAACAACAATAAAAATAAATGTATCGACTGGAACTATAGGAGCTACTACTGTTTTTAAACTTAAAATGTTTGTTTATACAGTTTTTTCATAACCATCCTGCATCTACATGTCTGATGCTCTTAAAAATGGAATGTAAAGTTGGTTAATAAGAGGAATTGAGGTTGCATATTTTCACGGCAATGAGTGGACAGTAATTATTACGGAACAACTAAAAAAGTTTTACCAGATCAAATCTGAAAATGCACCATAGAAACCTCCTTAGCAACCAAATGCTTTGTCTGCATCCACGTAACCAGTGACATCACACCTGGTGTTTTTAGTTCTCGTCTGGCAGGAGCTAAAAAAATTATGTTTTGGTTTTGAACGACACATTTTTACTGTTATCTGCAATGACACAGAAATGTGAAGCGATCCATTACTCCTAAGGCGGTAGTGGGTGTTTAAATTGGTCATTGAGGAGTGTAAGTACTCATTCTTCTCCCATGATGGTACCCGGTGCTTGACTTCTTCCTGTTTCCTCTAAAAGTTTTTTAGTACCTGCAGCAGTTACCATTTTCCAGAGCTGTCTGTTTTCTGTGATTGCAGCATTTTACTTTTGCAGCATTTTATCATTTGCATTATTTTTTTTGTTAACGTTTTGGAGTTTGCCTCATTCATGTGTTTGCAGAATGTTTGACAGTTTGTGGCACATTCAGCTGTTTGCTTTCTGTTTGCACCTGTCAGCCAATGTAGCCAAGCCCATAAGAAAAGATGTATGGAGGAAAACGCATGTCACATTTTTTCTTTGTTTTTTTTTATTTTACATTTATTTCACAAAAATGGTCCACTTTGTATTACTCAATCCCGTAAAATCCCACATGTAGAGGTACAGACCTCAAAAACACTAACTGCTTCTGAAAGCTGATCGTTGCTACAAACATCTGCAGTGAGGACACATGCCTGTCTTTAAACTGGATCTAATCTCAAATTGTTGTCTAGATAATAAATCCTGAATAATTGACTGTTGTCATGATGACAAGATCTGTCACAGACAGAGCTTCCTATCCACACTTAGGTCAATAGATGACATACATTATGATTTTCCCATGTTGAGGCACACACAAACACACAAAAAGAGCAGTTATTCTATGTATCCTTTGTTGTATAAGGACATATCTGCAAATCTAAATTTGGGTGAAGTTACATCAAAGTAAACCCCTATATATTAACACATTTGGGAGTTCAATCTCCAAAGCAATTGGCACCAAGTTTGGATGGTTGACACTGACACTACATGAGGAGGCTGGAGCTCATAGTTCCTGTTCACACAGCTCTGTTGGTCTTTTAAGCAAACCTAAGCATGTTACATAAAGAGAAGCACAAACAGACTGTAGGAATTACTCACAATTAAAGAATATTAATAAAGTAACCTAACAAAAATATATGTCTAAAGTAGATTCTTTGTTAGATTTACAGTACATACCTCCCACCCTCTACAGTTTGGTAACTCACTGTTGGATCTGGACTAAACAGTTTATTTATTTGAAAACGTACCATTAAAGGTATTGTGGAGGATTTTCTAAAAGACCTGCCCTCTCCACAAAAAAATGTACAAGCCCAAGTCCCCTTGTGCAAGCCCTGTTTAAAATGTGCTGTTCTCATAGCTCATACAAGCTCACTGTGTTTACATACAGCGGGGACTATATAGTGGACTTTATAGCAAACACAGCTAACTTTCCGTTCGGACAGATGATCGCTGCTTTTGGCTCCCCGTTGGTCACGTAACTCCTCCTCCACCACGCGGTGGTTTTGCCATCTTTGTTATTAGTCAAATATAGCTAGAAAAAGATAGCTAACAGGGCAAGTAAGTAGAACGGCCTTACCTAAACATCTCACCAGGATGATTGGCAATTAAGAGGTCCACTTATTTAGATGATCCACCTAGAAATAAAAGTTAATCCTCTATAACTTTAACATCCCTCCTTTTGCATTTACAGATGTCGACTCTTTTGCCAAGCAGACAGAAACCAAGGAGAGGATTAAGCATTCATGTCTGTATTTTGTATCCTTTGCTCTGGGTAGCCCTTAAAGCTGGTCACTTATCTTGCAGGGTCCTATTAAAATAGTCTTTACTGTCTCATACAGACATATATTAGATAGTAAGTAAGTCCAATCTATGGGATAAAACCTATGTCAATTGTTCAAACTGATTTCTGCAGTGTATGATGCCAATTTGGACTGCAGCAAACACTCACTGAGCTGCTGAACGAGTCCTTCTCCTTCTTGTTGCCGTAAAACTGCAATCATTTCTTCATTAGCCTTTTATTTGTTTCTAACCGTTCCACTTCAGGGGTAACACACAGTTTATTTGGGTACTCTTAATTACAAAAGGGAGATTGTGTGCCCTCTTCACTAAAATGAATGTGTCTCTCTGCCTCCCAAAGGGCAGCGTGGCTTAGAGTTGGACTGTATCTGATTACATTTTCCAGGATTGATTACGGTTTTGAAGCGCTGACCAGGCCGACCCGGACCTTATCTTGCTTGAATTGAGGTAAGAAGTCTTTGACCTGTGTCTGTCACATTTCAGGTGCGGAGGATTAAGAGGAGAGATGCTTTTATTTCCTATTTGTTAGTTGTTGTTTTTTCTTTCAAAGAAGAAGCCTGAGGGCTGTGAACTCACTCACAATAAATTGCATTGCAGCGCTGTTTCTCTCTCCAGATAGCCATTCAGGAGGTATAGCTACCTTCAGGAGCTTTTCATTTTTCCTGTTATTAAACATAGTGAAAAGCTTGGCTTCCACAAGTTGGTTCAGAAATCCAAGTTGACGACAGCAGAAAAGAAGCTGGAAGTCGAGGCGGATATGCTCAATGCTACCATATGCAGGCAAAATGAAGAAATGATAACAATAAGCTACCAACCAACCAGTAAAATAATGGCAGTAATTTACCAATGATAAAATTTTCTTTAGTGTCAGTCATTTATTTTATTTGAATTTGGAGAAAATCTCCAGAGGAGCATTGTTTGCATCTCCAAGGGTTAAAAACAAAAGTAATGGATTGAATTCACTAATGTTGCTGTGTTTATCTTTATATTGTAGTGTAAATGTACAGTGAAAGAGGTACTATCTTAACCTTTTTCCACTTTCTGAACGTTTCCTTTTTTCATTGCCATAAACTTTAATGTATTTTTTAATGTTTGATGTAGTTATAGAGGTAAAAATTAGCTCCTTCACGTACACTTAAAGGAAAAAGGCTTTTTAATGATCCTATTCTATGCTGGATGTGTATTAGTCCGTTTAATACAAAAACCAGGTAGGTGTCATGATCTTGGCACCTTCAGGCTGGGTTTTCCTCCTTGTTGCTCTCATCTGCTTTGCTCAATATTTCTCATCAGATCCACCTGTTCCTGGTGCTATTTATGCCTTTTTATCCCAGCGTCTGGTGCCAGATTATTCTAGCTTCTAGCAAGACAAACTCTAGCGTTTCCTGTATTTAGTTCTGTCTGTTCCTGACCTGGCCATTTTGGCCACCCCTGTTCTGCTCTGTTTGCCTGTCCTGTCTTTCCAGGCTGTTACCTGGTTGTCGATCTTGGACCGGTCTTCTGACCACAGCTTGGATTTGCCCTCCTGGATCCTTTGGTTCATCTGTGGGCTCTAGCTGCTGCAAGACACTGTCCTCTTTTCTTCTCGATCTCTGGTTCCAGGTTGGTAACAAGCAACAGATTTCCGCTCCTCTGGACATCACTCATACTTCGGGGCTAGGACTGAACTTTGCCAGGTTGGTGGCTATCATGCTCATTGTTGTTCCTCGTTTGAGTTTTGAAGTCACTGACCTGAGCCTCTATTCCTGCAGAGAATCCTGTGAGCCCGCTGCAGCTGACAATCAGCTGCACAGCGTTAATTTAATAAACGCTTTGATCTTTCCCACTGTCTGTCTCGCCTTGAATATTGGTTCCAAAGTCCTGAGTACATTACAGTAGGATGTTGAAATAATGATTTCAGTCATGTACACATCTGGCCTTTTAACAATTGACAAGTGACAATTGGGATTTAATGGAAGACTTGAGCTTGATTTGAATATCTCAAATCGGTAAGGACATTTAAGCCATGGCTGAAGTGCATCAGCTGTCACCATAATGAATGCTATCTGAACAGTGCTGGCAGTAAAGAGGGAGCAAGGATGAGGAAGCAGGATTCTTCCTAATGCCAGTTCAGTTAACATAGGGACCTTCAGATGTTCCTAGCTGCTGTTAGGACCTAGAAGGTTGCCTATATGACAGGATATAGAGGCACAGCCCACTTCATGGGGTTTACCAAAATACAATTTCTTAAGGTTTATTCTGTGTGACACATGGTAATGTACACACCTTCATATGTTTCAGGTTTTGTAGTGGAGGGCTTCAGCCGTTCATTAAAATGGTATAACTTTTATTTATTTTTCAGAAGGCTGCAGTACAAATGTGACCATCATAATTCATGTGTTTGTTCATCATATAATGATGTCTGTATACACTAAAGGCTTTCTGGATTTAGCACAGCAGTCTGAAGTTCTTTTCCTGTTTTAACTAGTGTTCTTACTGTTGACCCCACGAAACATCAAAGGATAGGACCTAAGAACAGGGGCTAGGAGTTACAATTTGATGTTTTTTTTTAATTAATCAAGTCCATTAAAGGGGCAGACACGTTGCCACAGATCCCACCTGCCGGAAAAGTAGATGAGTGTCCCATTTCCCTCAGGAAAAGTATTCAGGAACATTGCATTCTAAACAAATAGAAAAAAAAACCTTTCCCATAAAACCTTTCCCATTGCTGTGAAAGCAATCACCCCCCTGTAGACACTTGGTGATCTAAACTGCTCAAAAAAAGAGAGGGAAGACTCAAGGAACACATCCTAGATCTGAATAAATGAAATATTCTCATTGGATATTGTGTTCAGCAGAGATGGGAAGTAACGAAGTACAAATACTTTGTTACTGTACTCAAGTAGATTTTTCTGATATTTTTACTTTACTTTACTTTACTTTGCTACTTATTTTTATGGCGACTTTTTACTTCTACTCCTTACATTTTTACACAAATATCTGTACTTTCTACTCCTTACATTTTGAAAACTTGGCTCGTTACTTTAATTTTGAATCATTTCAATGGAGTTACCGTTATTATTTTTCACGTCATCAATACCAAATTCAGTCTAATTGGATGGGAATCTACATTGCATTTGACGCACCACTACAAGATAAATCGACAGATTCGGCGGTATTCATTTGCGGCAAATCATTGCAGCTTGGTGGCGGTGGCGTTAGCATAGTAGTATGGACGACGAGATGATTGAAAATGAACACAACGGAGATCTAGTCCTATTGGCAGACATCCATTTAAAATTTAGTCAACGGCATGAAAAAAGTGGTTTCTACTTTTACTTTTATACTTTAAGTAAATTTACAAGCCTGTACTTTGTTACTTTTACTTGAGTAAAGAAGTTTAATCAGTACTTCCACTTTTACCAGAGTATTTTTTAACACAAGTATTTGTACTTTTACTCAAGTACGGAAAGTGAGTACTTTTGCCATCTCTGGTGTTCAGTACAATGTTTCATAGCTGAAAACAAAATCACTAAAAAATCACTAATGCAAATTAAACAAATTCTTCAATGGAAGCCTGGACTTGGAGTTAGACACAAAATTAGTGGAAAAAGAAACTACAGTCTCATCCAAATTTGATGTAATGTCCTCCAAACAAGTAAAAATGAGGCTTAGTATTGTGTGTGGTCTCCATGTGCCTTCATCTTCTCCCTAAAATGCCTTGATATGCTCCTGATGAGGTGGCAGAAGGTCTCCTAAGGAATCTCCTCCCAGACCTGGACTAAAGCTTCCACCAACTGGAGAGTCTGTGATTACGCTGGGGGATGGATTGTGACATGATGTCCAGATGTGGTCGGTTGGATTCAGGTCTGGAGAACGGACAGGCCAGTCCACACTTTCAATGCCTTAATCTTGCAAGAACACACCCAGCCGCATTAGCAGGAACCCAGTGAAAACAGCACGAGCATATGGGCTCAAAAGGGGTCTGAGGAACAGATTGCTCTCCATGGTATCTCCAGAGTCTATCACATCTGTCACATGTCCTCAGTGTGAAACTGCTTTAATCTGCGAGGAGCAAAAGGTGCCAGTGGCAAATTGTTCAATCATGGTGTTCTCTGGCAAATGCCAAGCATGGTGTACAGTGTTGGACAGTGCACAACTCCATTTGTGGACACCGGGCTCTGGTAGTGCTCCTCTTTTTCCTCCTTGCACAAAGGCAGAGGTAGTGTTCCTTCTGCTGGGTTGTTGCCCTCCGATGGCCTCCTCCACGTCTCCTGATGTACTGGCCTGTCTTCTGGTGGCATCTCCAGTCTCTGGACAATACACTGACAGACACAGCAAATCTTCTTGCCACAGTTCACGTTGATGTGCCATCCTGGATGAATTGCACTACCTGAGTCACATGTGTGAGGGTAGATTCCCTCTCATTCTATCATGAGTGACCAAAAGTGACTAAAACACAGACTACCGTGTCCCTGTATCCTTTTTAAAGTCTGTTTTGGTCCCCTGGCCTTTTTTACAGTCCAAAAGCAATCCTATTTTGCAGCACACCAACACCTGGTGAGGATGACAAGGACCAAGCGGAAAATTGCAGCCATAGCTGAAGCCCCCTTCCCTTTAGACCGCCCACAAGCTCCTGATTGGCCCTACTTCTTTCTTCTGTGATTGGCTGTAGCTGCTTTCACTTTACAAACATTGATGCACCACTGAATCAGGTCTGTGTTAGGATGGTCACAGTGCTGCTAAACTCCTAAGCGCTACCATAATTAGAACTGTAGGGTCGCAGGTCTTTTTCTCTGCTTTCTGGTATGTTTCGAATTTTTGAGATATCTTAAACGGTCCAGAAATTAAAGTCTTGTAGAACAACATGGGTCTGCAGAAGATGACAGATGGTGTTCTTCTCATTGAGTCATGTAATTTAGAATGGTTGTAATATCTGATGTATTAACTGACATTAATCTTTTAATTGGTGTCATGTGTTTTTGTGTGTTTGTTTGTGTGGTTATTTGACTTGCACCCAGAGACTTCTTTAAAAGTCAAAGAGTAAATAAAATTTAATGAACTGTGTAACACTCCTCCTAAAACACCTTCACTGGCTCCATAAAGCAGCATATCCACTTTAAGATCCTCCAACGTATTATAAACTCTCAATAACCTTTTAAAATCTGTTTGTTGCACCCCAAATTGTACAGTTGTTCATGTCATATGTTGTCAGGAGAGGGATAGCAGAGATGCAAGAGAAAGTGGAGGAAACAAACACAGAAGAAATAATAGAAAGCATGTTGAACTTGTAAATAAGAGCTGTGTTTATTTAGTGACTTAGTTTCACAGTGTGGCTTTTGCACCGGGCTCCCCTCGTTCCAAATAGAGAATCCCCTTTCACTGCCTAAACCAGTTTTGCCTTAGTTATTGTTGTGTTTTCTTTATTTAAACATTGTTTCCATGATATTTTGTATCAGTATCATTTACCTGTTCTGTGTCAATAGCATGATGTGCAGCTTGGTCATGATGTGGGGCCAGGGCCGGCGATTGCTATAGGCGAGCTAGGCAATTGCCTAGGGCGACAAATGTGTTGGGGGCGCCCTCTATACTTAGCGTCGCCCTTAGGCTTACTTCCCATTAATCATAGAATTAGAAAAAAAAGCGAATTAAACCGGTTATGAAGCGTACGTCAGTTTGACTTAAGCTTACGTATATATAAATAGCAAAATATGAACAAATAAATATACCACCGTTTTTTTATTTATTTTTTCACATTCAAGAGAAAATCGGAAAAGATTCTGATCTCTTTTCAAGCGCCCTCCAACCCGGAAGTCGTGACGTCAATCACTGCAGCATGTCCACCAATATTTTGGAATGAAATTGTAAGCAAACAGATATTAAAAGTAAAACAAGTGAATTCTGACACTTAACTTTGCTCGCGACTCGAGGATGGCTGAACGGAAAAGACTCCCCTCTCCTCCTCCAGCTGCTGCCGCAGTCGGCCCGTCTTAATCATCCACTCAGAGTACCACTGGTAAGCGCACACAGACTTTGTAGCTTGTCCGGTCAGTTAAAAATATTAATTGTGAAATCCGTCTTGTAATCGGAAGCATACAAGCTAGTTAGCTTGAAAAGTAAATAAAGTTTCAGACGTGCTGCGTGATGATGTGTTCAGATTGGCTCAGTAAAATGACAATTAGGTTATCATGATGCGTTCAAGTGTAACGTAAAGAAAACGGGAAATTTTGTTTTTGGCGAAAAACATGAGTAATACAGTTGTATATTGCTCTATATATAATTAAACTACTGATGCCAACATTTATTAAAAATTACATTTAATTTAAAATACAATTATTTATTTGTTAAATATTTTCCTAATCACTAAAAACATGATGAAAAGTGACAGTAGACAATACATTAACCAACAATTGTGAAAATATATTCTAGTTAGTTTTATGTCATTTCCAAGTGGCCTATTACATTAGCCATGTTTATTGAAGGCTAGAAACGTTTTTGTTATGCTCACTTGTTAAGCAATAGAAGCAATACCAGTTCTGTTAATAAAATTTTGTTGCATCGTCTTTCCACCAAATAACAGAAAAGTATCGATAGTGGTATCGATAAAGACTCGGATCGATAAGGAGTATCGATAAAGGTATCGATATCAATAAATATTAACGATCCCCATCCCTAATGTTGACATTTTTTTCTCAGAATTATGTGCTATATTATTAGCTTGAGAATGGGTAGAAGATACTAATATAAATAAAATATTTTGTAGTGATTATCTGCATTGAGTGTTCAAAAGGGATGTACAAATAATCATCAAAATATAAGAAGTTATGGCTGTTCATCATAGAATATGTGAACAAAAAAAAAAACAACAACTTCAAACTTTTAATTTTGTAATGGTATTCATAAAAGCACTTTTGTTTGTAGAGGGTTAATCCTTTCTTTAATCACTAATCAATGTCAGAAATCAGGGTAAATATACCTGATATATTTTATTTAGAGGAAAATTTTGTTTATCTCATTTCTATTTATGTTCAAATGATTTAATTGAACTGGAAAAGAAAATTTAATTTAATGTTTATCAATTACTTTTTTATGTAGTCCTTGGTTGAAGAATTTCTTAAATTTATTATTTTTTATTGTTATTTGGTAATTTCTGAAATTGATTTATTTAATATTTGTTTAATGTGTGTTAAATTTGTTAATTGTCTGAAATAAATTCATTCAATGAATCAATCCAGTTTTTT